TGGGGGGGGGGGGGGGGGGGGGGGGGGGGGGGGGGGAACGGGCCTCCCGACTGAAGCACTTGGAAAGGCTTTAGCTGTTTTGAAGTGTTTTTGCTATGTGCGTTGATCATCTGTCACTTCGTTTCATGTGTTTTTGTTATAAGCAGTAGAATGAGGTATTTAGAGGCCAGTTCTTGTAGAGATTAGGAAAAATGGGATGAGGAGGGGGAAGTTGCTTTTCCTTTTTCCCCTTTTTGTACCGCACTTCTATGCCATTAACAATTAACTGCAATCTTCTGATGATTGTTATGACCACCGGTACAGCATCATCTGCTGGCCAAATCCAGAAGTTGAACCACCTAGTAATTTCCTTGGTTTTCCCGCACTGAAATACTAGATACCTTTAAATTCCTTTCACTTATGGCCGGGTTTTCCGTGGATATTAGTTTTGATATTTTCGAGAAAAAATAGTTTAACTTGTGGGCGAAAGTTCGTCATCGACAGCCATGTATTTTCTTTTTTTTTTTTTTCAGAAAATAAACATGACTGATTTCGATCGCTTCAAGTTGATGCGCGCGAAACAGCTTCGAAATCGACTCGTACGTCTAGAAGCGGCTAAATTACGTAAGGCAACAAAGGCAGGAGCGGTGAAACCAGCTGGTGAAAAGCCGACAAAAACGAAGAAAGCTAAGTAATCAGTTCCGTTCAGTTGTTGGCGCCTTTTAAAATTAAGTGGAATTTGTTGTTTTAAATAAATTATGAAAAAAATTCATACTTTTTACTGACACCGCATCGTAAAAGAGAGTCACGATCTAGTGAATGATACATTTTACAAAATTCAATGAGCCTGTAAAAGCTGATAGCTTCATGCGGCGAGAATAAGAAACAGCAGATGAACAAAACGGATTATTGAATGGTACGCATATATGAAAATTAACATGTCACTACTGTGATGGGATTATGTCAGTTAAACCAGTCGGGCCGGTGCAGTCATGCGTTTTGGCACTGTTTCATGCTGTGGCAAGGTCGCAAGGAATCGTTGTAGCTAGAATTTCTGTCATACTGGCCTTCTAAGTTCACAGAGTTAATTGTTCAGCCGTGTGGGGCATATCAGTTGTAGATGTCGGCTTCAGTGACCCGACAAATGGAAAGTTGTGCACGAAAAAGACCCCACTAGAAGAGCTGAATTTGAAATCTTTTAGTCGCACATGAATAGGAAGCTTCCCCTTAAAATGAGCAGGACTTTGATACTGCTAATCATTTGATTGCTTTATGAGACCAGTCAAACAGGCATGATTGTAGTGGCAAGCCTAGTGGCTTTACTAAATATTCGTTTGGCAACTGATAAAATACAGGAACACCAAAGAAGACACAGATAATGTTGGTAAGATTATACTGATATTATTGTTTAGGATTATCTGTGCAGAACACACCAAATCCAGCTTGTAACACGCAGGTTCTAGCCTGACTGACTAGAAAGAATAGGTTAAAATGCGAAAACTGTATTTTTAGAGGTGCATAAAAATTTATTTTCTGATAAAACGCAGCAGAGCTAAAGGGAAACTGGTCCAACTGAGACGGGGTGATTTCACCATGTTCCTTAAATGAACAGAGGAACGAAGGGTTTGACTGTGTGCATTCTCTCCTCGACGTTCGCTCATGGCAGTTATTGCAAGAACGATACAAAGCACGGAATACATACGTTTCTTATACACTAAAACTTTTTGGTCACATTTTCTCGGCAGGCGGAGGAAGTAGCTGGCATTGTTGACAAACGTTGAGCGTCGCACGCTGGTGATGGTTCTCTCAGGAATATAAGCGATCACTCCAGCGGCTTCCATGGGAGTTGCACACATGCATCGAACAGGACGGGTGCTAATGAAGGCTTGCAGCTCAGAATCGAAGGATCCGGCGTAGCTACACCCGGCGCGTGGAAGTTTAAAAATAATGTCATTGAAATGAGGCACTCAAATTGACGTCCGCGAGGTTTTAGTAATAATGGCGGTTGTGTATTTGAAAGTATTAATTCAAAACTGCCCGACAAGTGATATTTGATCACCTTTACAAAGTATTAATTTCCGGTTTTACAACGCATTAATTCCCGGTGTAGTTTTTCCGGCTCTGTGGTGCCGAATTATGGAGGTTCGGTCATCCTTCTTTTTGTTGCAAATGTGGCACTTGTTCTGCCGCCAGTATGAGTTTGAATGTGTTTTTGCAAGTCTGCTTCCAGACTGAAGCTTGAATTGCAGTGACGGCATTTGAACGGTTCCCCACCAGCATGATTTCGCGTATGTCTTTGCAAGTTAGATTTGTGGCCGATGCTCGAACTGCAGTAGCTGCATTTGAGCGGCTTCTCATCAGTATGAGTTCGCATGTGTGTTTGCAAGCTTTTTTTATGGCTGAGGCTTAAATTGCACTGATTAAATGGCTTCTCACCAGTATGAGTTCGCATGTGCTGTAGCAAGATCGCCAAGAATCGCTGTAACTAGAATTTCTGGCCTTCTAAGTACACGAAGTTAATTGTGCAGCTGTTTGGGCATGCCAGTTGTAGACATGGGCTTCAGCGACCCGACAAATGGAAAATTGCTTGTATACGAAAAAGACCCCACTAGAAGAGTTGAATTTGAAATCTCTTGGACTGTAAGGTAAACCATGTCAAACTCGCAGAAAGTCTTCATTTGTTTATAAAAGCAACAGTACCAAATCAGGAAAAAAATGATGGATGAAACATATTTGATAGCTATAGGTTTATACTGTAATTTAGTCTGTTTGAATCAGAGCAAGCCACAGAAAAGAAAGAACCCGATTTTTTTTCAGAAAAAAAACTTGTAATACAGAATTCTTCAGCTTTCCCGAACACTGCCAAGGATAAAAGTCCTGCAGTTTGCTTGCATTCATTTAACGCGGGAATTCGGAGCAATTACAGTGTGGTGGAATTCTGCATTCTCT